ATTTGTTGGTTCTTAATCAATGATCATCTTTGAATACATGGTAAGTTTTCAATTTGTTCTTTCCTTTACACCTCATGTGGAGATCTTGTGTAACGTCCTAAAATACTAATAAAAGTTTTCATTTTTTAAATCATCAAACCCATACATCATGTGTCTCAAAATCAATCATAATACAATGTATCAAAATCATCAGAGTAAATATTCATCGATACGGAAATCATAAGGGGATTATGTGCAGTCATGTCGGACCCTTCCCTTTGGAACTGAAAGTACCTGAAAAATATTTAAACCATAAACCGTAAGTACAAAGCTTAGTGAATTCCCTAAAATACCACATACCAAACAAATGGGCCCAACCCAATCATGCCAATGAGCCCAACCCAACATTCATATAAATGGGCCGAGTCCAACGCATAATAAATAGGCCCAACCTAAGATACAAATGGGCCTCCCAACATACAAATAAATGGGCCCAACGTAACATATAATACATGGGTCCAACCCAACACACACATGCAACAGTAAAAAAGACAACTAGCATCCTACACAGTCTAGTGAGAAAACTCATCTGTCTCATGAGATCAACTAAAATAGCTCACTGCCATGCAAACAACACTACAACACACCTATCAAATCAAGCAAGGTCTCACCTTAGTCTAACTTCCACAACTAGACATTTTGATTAAAAGTCAAACAAGGTCAACAAGTCAATGGTCATAGTCAAAGTCCACAATCAACACTTAGATTAGCTAACCCTCACGTTGTGACCACCTCATGGCCACGTCATGAAATCAGATCCCACCTAGTCCCCACTTAGTTATGATTCAACTCAACTCAACTCCATTCATAAACGGTTTTAGCCATCGTCACATCATGATGGCCATAGCCTCACATCATGAAAGAGCCAGCCCAAAACAGTCAGGGAAAATCAATTCACCACGTTGTGACCACGAAATGGTCACGTCGTGACCCACACAAAATGCGCATCTTAATGCATTCAGTTCTCATCCTTTAGCTTATGCAATCCAACTTGCTAGAGGGTCTTATAAATCTAAAATAAACCTAAAAATCGATGCTTTATGGACATGCATCTCTAGATCTTATTTTGGGTCAAAATGAAGAAAATCACCAAAACTCACATGCAAGGGTCCAAAACACATTCCATTTCCAAATCTACACAATATGATAAACATATGACCTCGAGGATCCATAAAGTTGACAACTTTATGGAATCCCATCATTCTAGCTAACTCTTACATGAAGGAAATTGGATAAAACTATAGATCTAGCAACCTAGCACAAGAAATATTAGTTATTGGACACTTATAAAGGTCCAAAATTGCTCAAAATTGTCCAATGCGTTCATTACTCTTCAAATGGCTCTTTCTTCCTTCAAAAGCATGCACGAGTACCAAAATAAACTAAAAATAGAGGAGAGGGATTAGGTTTCCTTTTTCTGGTTTGGAAGTGATGGAGCCTCAGAGTGGAAGAAACCCTAACCCCTCACTTCCTTTAAATAGGGTCCAAAGTCTAAAAATTAGGGTTTCCATTTAATTAGGTGTCACAACGTGACACTTCAATGGTTCAGTCCACATAACACGATCATGTCACGAAGTGAGGGTGCTTCCTTCATGTTGTGACCCCCTTCAAATCTATATTTTACTTAATTTATTTGTACAAAGGTCTAAACACTTACTTTTTAAGTGGAAATATAAAAATGTTAAGTGAAAACCCTTTAACTAAAACTCTTCATAATTTAATTAACAATTTCTTTGTAAAACTCATAAAACACAATTCTTTCATTTATAAAAACTTGAATAACTCAAATAACAATCCAATGGAAATATTTTTCTTAAATAATCATAGTATTAAATCATAATATTATATATTTTCAAACATCATTTAAAAACATAAAATCAAAAGCCTTGAATAGTCATAAGAGTCTGGGGTACTCTTGTCTAGAGCGATGTAGTCAGGCCGAATCACTTAATTCGTGAAAAAATGTTAATAGACACCTAGTAAGCGAAAACACTTAGTGAGCATACACATGAATCACACAATATATCAATGATAAGTGTTAGGGGTCAAGATCTTAAAATATGTCTAGGATCCCAGATCTTAAATAGAATCAGGATCTTGATTCATATATTGTAACAAGTCAGGATCCTAATTATTATTGATATTATTTCCTAACAAGATCAATGGATATATTTCTTGTTTATTAGTTAAATGTGTAGAAATGGTAAACACAAGGTGCGTCTACACTAAAGAATTGCTCCAGTCAAAGCTTAAAATATCAAGTCACTTGCTTAAAATATCGAGTCACTTAGTCAAGGCAACACGCAAGGTCATGTTCAAAAGTAACCCAAGAATATCGAACATCTTGTTAGTCAACCTAGGCCATAAATACTTATGTAGAAATCATAGAACACACATCTATAGCAATTGAACGACTTATACATGTATTCTCAAACACATTTCTATAATTTACATTTCAATTAATAAGATTAAACAAGGCAGGTGATCATTATCACCTCCCAAGGTTTTATGTTAGAGATCCAAGCAAGGATCAAGGGATTTCCTTGTAAGATCACTCATGTTCCTTTCATTTTCACATTCACATTGATTATAACACCACAGCCTCTCATACAATTCGATTGATATTTTCTAAGTCATTTTTCGACCAAAGAAATAAGCATAATTTGATCACATAATACTTGAAAACTATAATGCATAACACTTAAGCACATATTGTTAGTACCGAGAGTTGTAAACGAACCAAACGAACATGAACATGAACACAGGCTTGTTCATGTTCGTTCGTTTAAGTTAGCCGAACAAACAAATGAGTTTTCTTGTTCATGTTCGTTCATTTAACAAATTACTTTGTTCATGTTTGTTCATTTATATTAGTGAACATGCTAAACAAACATAAACAAACAAAGGTGAGCAAACATAAATGAACATACATGAACTTAAATGAACATATAATATAGTAACATAATAAAAACAATTAAACATATATAAACTTAAACACGCAAAACAAACAACATAAATGAATGTTCACAAACATAAATGAACAAATCAGACCATTGTTTATGTTCGTTCATCTAACTAAACGAATGAGAATTTGTGTTCATGTTCATTCATTTATGAAATAAATGAACATAAACAAACTTCCTGTCGAACAGTAAACGAATGATTCGCTGAATGTTAGGTTCGTTTACAGCCTTAGTACCAACACTATACTAGAAAACTTGTGATATGATTAAGAAAACAACCAAGAGATTCCTAGGACAAACTCTTCTTAAGGGGAGGGGGGGGAGAGAGAGAGAGAGAGAGAGCAAGTATTTTAAAGACCGAAAAATCTAAGTATTGATTATACTTTACACGACGCTTTCCGAAATTCATTACCTTTGAAGAAAATGAAGAATGTGTTGCGTAATGGTTAGGGTGTGACACACTTGGTCAAAGTCAAATTCAACGGAAGTCGATGATAAAACATGGCACGTCTAAATGATAGGTGCGACGTGTGAACGTGTTCGGGTAATGAACACGTGTTGCAAGGGTAAAAGATGTGGCAATTCTTGGAAGAGTGACGAAGCAAAGACGTGGAGCATCTTCCAGGTACGCACAACGTGCCTATGGGATACATGGATGTGTATGTCGACAAGTGTGTAGACATGACATGTGGCATGATTTGGGTGAAACACTTAGACGTGACACTTCCAATGATGGAGCACAACATGTATCCCTAACAAGCCTATATAAACATTGAATATATGTTGTCATCCGTTTCAGAAAGTCCGACGAGGATTTTTATAGGCTCACAACCGAAGGAATGATAGTTGTAAGAACCCAAAAATTATTTTGACTTTGGGTGAATAATTTACCAAAAGGGAAATTTGGTCATTTAGAGGAATTTCATTAATTGAGAAGAGGTAACTTCATGAAATGAGTCAAGATAAGTCTAAGCCACTTTAATAAGTTGAGATAAGGGAGTTCAAGAGAAGAAATGCAAGAGATGGTGCATTTAGGTCATAAAGGGTAAAATGGGAATTTTATGCTTTTTGGGCCAAGTTTGTGACTTAACAGATTTAAGAACTATAAAAAGATAGTCTAAAGTGACTTGATGGAATTGTAAAACTCATCCCCACCTTCACATGGATAGATAGATAATTGAAAATCGGTTTAGAACAAAGAAGTTATGAGTCTTTGAAATTAGAATAAAAATTTCCCCAAACTGGAATGAAATCACGAAGGAGTTGCTGACATGCAGGCACCACGACACGGTAAGGGATTTACCATGGTGCGATGAGCAAAGCAGTAAACATTATAAATTAAAATTTTGTATTATAATATTGAAAAAACATAAAATTTAATTACTTTGATTTAATATTTCCAAAATTTTGAAATAATCATTAAAAGGAGAAGAAAAAGAGAAGTGTGGACTTCTAGTTTCATCCAATGAGTAAGGAGCGGTCACAAGTACATACACATGCATTTATAAGGTTGCAATTACTTTATTACATATTTACTTTATGAATTATTAGATGTTTACTTATGAATTATTAGATATTTACTTTATGAATTACTTTATTACATGTTTATGTACTTGTGTCTGCTCCTTGAACCATTGGATGTTTACTTTATGAACAATTACATATGGACAAATAGAATTACTTTATTACATATTTACTTTATGAATTATTAAATATTTATTTTACAACACAAATTATTAGATATTTACTTTATGGAAATCTGCGAAAAAGTCCCAAAATTTTGGCCCAGTTTATGATTTAGTCCTAAACTAAAATTTCACTTATGAAAAAGGCCAGATTACCAGCTATTACACTCAGTTTAGCCCTAGGAACCGGTAATCCTTATAATAGTCGGTTACCCCAGCTGGCTCGTCCTTATCACCCTCCATTAACCTCCCTGTCACCCACTCCTCCTCTATAAAAACCCTTTTTTACCCTCCATCGAAGCAAAACTCTAAAATGGCATCTTCAAGCTTAGTGGGAAGCAGGAGCAATATCCGATCACGATGGAAAGAATTAAGGGCAACATGCTTTTGTGAAGACCCCATTAGTAAGTGGACATCATGTAGGCCAATAAGCCCTGGCAGGAGGTTCATCGGTTGCCCTAATTTTTGGGTAAGTATCCATTAATCCTCTTTAATTACATCTCAAATCTCTTCCAATTAGGTTTTATTTCCTATATAACAGGATGAGGAAAAAGATTGCAAGTATTTTTCTTGGGTCAATCCCCCATTACCAAATAACTGGTATAGAAACATGTTGATGAATTTTCAAAATAATGGCATTCAAGTAGACAATGAATTCGTGGAAGACGCTGTGGATTTTCACAAAAATAGCATTCAAGAGGTTCCTGTACAAGGTGAAGGTGAAAAATAGAAGATTGGGTTTTTCTTTTGTGTTTGTTGGTGATTGTGTAGATTATGTTGAAGTAGCTTTAAGTTGTTGTAAAAATTTTAAATGACAATTGGATGTAAGTTGTATGTTGTTGAATGAAAAATTGGTTTATGGATACCAACTGTTTGAGCAATGTACAATAGTACGTGTATGATGTGAGCAAATGAATGATGTTTTTCAATATAACATAATGACCAAAATGGATGTAACTTATACATCAACAAAACATACCAAAATCAACCATAGTGTTAACAATGCAGCCATATTGTATATTGTTTACAAAAGAAAGGGCATATTAACAAATTTACCAAAAAGGGCTTCCTAACATATGTTCCCAAATAGCCCATATAACTGCTTAAATCCTAACCAATCTAATCCAAACTAATAGGTTTTTCTGGAGCCATTCCTATTCCTTTCTTGTCAACCACAATTTTCTTCAACATGTTTTCAGTGATCCTTTCCGAAGGTTTTCTTGTTCTAACCCTGAATTGAGTTCAAATCCTAACTTGAGTATCATCAACTCCCTCTTCATCATCCTCAGATCCATCTTCATCAATTTCTACCTATGATTCTTTAACTCCATCTTCATAGTCACTCTCCTCCTTGTTTTCATCATTGTCCTCCTGTGTTTCTGGTACATGTTCACTCACAAAAGGCACATCCTGGCATGGAAAAAAAACAAGTTAGTTATGTTATTGAAAAGCAAAATTCACTCTCAACATTCTCAAAAATACCTTTGCAGCTTGTTTGGATTGGTGAAGAAAAACATCAAATCCTTTATGTTGTGATTGGATGATATTAAGAAACAAAAGGATCTCTGCTTCACTGTATTTTAACTCTCTAAGGTAACTCAAATCATGCAGTATTTGATCCAGATCAACCATATCAAGACCATCATCTTCATCATCAATCTTAACATCTGCTTCCTATGTTTCTGGTACATGTTCACTGTCAACAGTAGGTGTTGTTTGGGTGACAAATTGACTCTCAACATTAGGTGTTGTTTGGGTGACAAATTGAATCTCAATCCTAGGTTCTTTTTTCCCAGAACTTTCACCTTCTTTATAAACATTGGTAGACCCTCTTCCACTACTTCTACCCCCTCTTCTACTACCTCTTCCACCTCTCCCACCACCTCTTCCACCACCTTTCCCAAGTCTCTTGCAATTGGTCAATTCTGGATTCAACCTTGGCCTTCCTATTTTCTTCTTAGGCTGTGTTGGTTTGACTGAGGGATTATTGCAAGACACTTTATTGTGCCCCATTAGCATACAATTATGACATTGGACAGTGTCACACCCCGAAAATCAAAGGCGGAAACATTTCCGGGGTGGACTCCACGTTGTGTATCAAATCCAATGTAAATAGTAATCACAGTAAACAACCAATACATTACATATATATATATATATATATATATATATATATATATGAAAGTTTACATTTGTTTCAAAAGTAAAGTTATACAAGATATACATATGCATCCTATTAACAAAAGTTGAGACGAGTCTTCTGAACACTCCGTCTTCACCAAAAGATATCGTCGGGTACCTGTCTAACTTGGACCTGAGAATACAAGCGGTTTGAAAATCAGCATAAAGCTGATGAGTTCATAAGCGGTTTTGTTTTATGAAAATGTATCGGTTTCCTTTAGTTTTCCGAAAAGGTTTGTTATCCAAGAAAATCCCATATTTTCTTATGTAAAGTTAGTTTAGTTATCATTTGTTACCAATTCGATTATGTGATGTATTTTACCCCAGGAAAATCCCATATTTTCCTAAATACAAGATTTAATAACATAGAGTATAGTTTAATACACAAAACTATATATTGAAAATCATGGGATCACTATCCCGAACGAGATATAAGATAGTTCGATACTAATGAAAATACAGATTTAAGACCATGGGACTACCATCCCGGACTAGACACAAAATAATTTGATATATATGAAAATATAGATTGGGAACCATGGGATCACTATCCCGGACAAGATATAGATTTAAACCATGGGGTTATCATCCCGTACTTGATACAGATCGAATCATGGGGTTACTATCCCGAAATAAATATAGATTGAAAACCATGGGATCACTATCCCATACAAGATATAGGTGTAAACCATGGGATTACTATCCCGTAATAGTTATAGATTCAAAACCATGGGATTACTATCCCGAATTAGATATGAAATACCATAATATACACGAACTGTAGATAGAAAGTAGTTTGATAACCTTGGGACTAACATCCCGAACTAATTACAATATAGTTTGATATACTAAGAAATATAAATTGAAAACCATGGGATTACTATCCCGTACCAGACATAAGATTATTTGATAAAACCATGGGATCACTATCCCGAACGAAATATAGATTTTAAAACCCAAGCTGTGAATAAACTTATATTAATACATGTTGTGAGTCGGGTAACCATACTAATACGACAACGAGACCTCCTTGACGCTTGTCAGACGTCGAATGATATCCAGAAATTTGTCACCCCAGGCGTGCCCGCCTAACTGTAGCTAGCAGTTAAGGTGTGGGATTGTCAGTCCCGAATATATCTATTCACAAATTCCTCGCTCTTCCTCCAGGAGACTCTGGTTACACTTCCGGGGAGGATTTACTAATCATCCATAAAGGGTAGTGACTATCTCACAAACTAGTACTAAACTATTCACAGGGTTCTCATACGGTATCAACATACAGAAGATTATGAAACGTAGTACATCGAATATAGATACATACAATGAAACTATCTGACAATACATTCAAATGATACGGAGATAAACTGAATCAGACATAGTTTATCTAATAAGTTTATATAGATATCAGTATATGATAGAACGAACAGTAAAGAACCCTAAATTATTCCCATAATAATTTGATTAGTTTGGTTATTTCCTTAACTAAAATTCATTTAGTTGTAGTTGATAAATCATTCTTTATGCTCAGCATAATACATAAGGAGTAAAAGTGTTTATAAGTTTGCCAGATATTATTTGAAACACATCAATGTTATGATTTGAAAACAGTTATAGTTTGCTTGTATTCCCCCCTGAAAACATTGAAAAACACAGAAAAGGGCGTAGGGGTATGAATTCACCGGACGAGAATGTGACGATTTCGGATGTTAAACGTTGGTCTGGGGCTTGCAAACGCACGCAGTTCCTAAGTATAATGTAAAGATTCACATTTGTATCTAATTAGGACTTAGATTGATTATTTGATAGGGACAATTGCTTCTAGTCGCGAAAACACCCCGATACAAGTGTTTGGAGGGAGGGGGTGACGTTTAAGGACATGTAGTGATGCGAGGGACTTGGGATTTGAGTTTACTCCCCAAGAGTAAACTCCCTAATGATGTTTACGGCCTAAACACCCATTCCCCATGAGTTTACGGCCGTAAACTCATGGTGGGGTGGTTTATGGTGCAAATTGGACTTCAAACACTTAGGGGAATTTTTCTAGGTTTGGTTCAAAGTCTTGGAATGGATTTTTAACATCAAAATGACTTATTTATGGGAGTTTACGGCCTAGCATGGACTCCTGGCCGTAAACTCCTAAATACCTGTCACACCCCGCTAAAGCGGAAACACGAGGCGTGGCAATACAAAGGGTTTCATAGCAAAAGTTTAAAGACAACAGCAACCATAGTATTAAAAACCATTACAAATTTAAAACGGGTTTGAACAACTTTTAAAAGAAATTACAATGAAAATAGAAATACAACACATGCGAGTGCTCCTAAAATTGAGGTGTCCCTAAGTGCCACTTACTCGATGATTCCTGAAAAAGCATGTAAAACGAGCATCAACTATAAAAATAGTTGGTGAGTACTCACAAGTTTAACAAAATAATATTGGTTCATGAGTTGAAATCAAAGTTTTGATAAAAGTTTCCAATAATAAAAGTATATTGCTAGGAGTAAATAAGTTTGTAAACACAGTTCGTTGTTATCATGAGAAATAAAGTATATTGCCCGAATAAGATGCAACATTCATATTTTCATGGAAGATAAAGTTCGTTACTCAAACGAGTAAACAAGTTTCATTGCTAAAATGAGCTGCCAATTTCGTTGCTACAAGGAGCAAACAATTTCATTGCTAAAACATATATATAAGTTTCCAGTAGTAAAAGTTCGTTGTTGTAATGAGAAATAGAGTCCATTGCTATAATGAGAAGCAAAGTTCATTGCTATAATGAAAAAACAAAGTTTATTGCTATAATGAGAAACAAGTTTCGTTGCTAAAATAAGTATTCAAGTTTCATTGCTAAAATAAGTATACAAGTGTCATTGCTAACATGGGAATACAAGTTTCGTATGTGTATAAAGAATAGTACGTGCATCAAGTTTCCATTCATGAGTTCACAACCCAAGCCTAATGACCGAATCGTGCCCTATTGACTACTATGTGTATCGCAAACATAGTGTATAAAATGGTAAAATGCACTCAAGCGAATCGTGCGAGTGAGGAGTTGTCTACCTCCTGATAGCATTATCCATAATAACCATAGGCTCAAAAGAGTTAATGAGTTGTGTCTAGAGATTCCAGGGACTTAACCGCGATACAATCCTCATGAATTAAAGTAACATACGCATACATACAAAATATAGCAACCAAGTTTCATACAAGTCAAAATAAATGCAACAAACATAAAAATAGTTTAGGACATGCTTTTCCACTCCAAAACATTTAAAAACATAAAATAGGGGATTGGTGAATACTCACAATATGCAAAATATAGTAATCAAGTTTATGTGAGTCAATTAAATATAACGAACATAAATAGTTTAGGACATGCTTTTCCACCCCAAAACATTTAAAAATCGTAAATAGGGGATTGGTGAATACTCACAATGTGCATTGAGATGATGCAAATGGTGCCTTGACTATGCTCCACTCGTATCACTATCGATTCCTACAATAATGGTATTCGCTAGTGAGTCTCTAATCGAAATCTAACACTAGTATACATGGTACTACAATAGAATTATGCCAATATTGTGTCAAAATTTAATATCGATAAGTTACAAACATTTTTCTGTGGAAATTAAGTTTCAAAGAATCAATTGTTATATAACAATTTAAGTGGAAAATTTCCATTATTGAAATGTTAATATTTAACATTTCAGAGGTGTTCCAATGATTAAATATTCAAAACTAAATCAATTTAATTCTAAAATATCCCAAACTTTGCATTTCAGTTTTAATTGAAGTCAAAGACCTCAAGATAAATTTTCTTGAATTTTTGATTTGTCTAACTATTTTTCACCATTTTAGTTTCTTGAATAACCATAAATTCATGAAAAATAGCAATGAGTTAAGAAAATTCCCCAAACTTTTTATATTACTGTTATTAAATATTACTAAGCTGGAAAAAATATAAAAATGGATTTCCAAGCTGTTTAATTATATTTTATGATTTTTGAGCATTTATTCCAATAAAAATTGAAATAAATAGAAAATAGTTTCCAAAATTACCCAAACTTTTTATTTAACTGTTATTATACATAACTAGGCTGGAAAAATATAAAAGATATTTTTCAGTGGGTATTTCTATTTTTCCTTGTTTTATTTCTTTAATTAATCATTAATTGAAGAAATAATATTAAACAGTTAAAATAAATTACCAAAAAATTTTGTAACATCATTTACAGTATAGATAACCTGTGAAAAATATCAAAAGTGGTTTTCATAATGTATAATATGGTTTTGGGTATTTATGTGTATTTAAGTGTATTTAAGTGTAATTAACTTTAGAAAATAAGAAAAAAATAGTTTACAGTGGAGAAAAATCCTCAAAATTTTTATGTAACCTCCTACTGTACAATATGATGTTCTGGTAAATTTTCATGAATTTTGGATAATCAGAACTATTTTTCCTATTTTTAGACCATTATAATTACCAAAAAATGGGAAAAATAGTAAGACATGATGAAAAATCTTGAAATTATTTTCTTGAGTTACCCATCACAGATAAGGTATGCAAAAATTGTTAGATACAATTTTCACACTCTTTAAAGTGGTTTTATGATTTATTATACCCTAACAAAAGAAAAATCGGAAATCATATCAAACAGCAACAAAAATTGATGAAATTTGGTGAGGGGTCATTATTCACCATAATGATCATCCATGAATTTAGTCCGGATTTATTGACCTCTGGAAGTATTTTTTTGTGATTTATGCCCATGGTTTTAGCAATAATTTTAATAAATTAAAGAAATAATAAAAGCTCTTGAAATTTTCCAGATTATCACATGCATGTTAGGGCTTTCAAAAGGAAAAATATTCAAAATTTATTCAGAAGGGAAATGGGGGTAATGTATCCGAACAAGTTAAGAAATGTTGCATGCAACGGTGCATGAGATGTAAATGTGGCTAAAGTTCATGAATTTGTGTAGTCTATTCAGTGAGGTTTTAAGCCACGAAATTTCAGCCATCATTCACTAGATATGTTAAGTTTCTAAATTATTTTTCCTCAGATTTATGGTTGGGTTTAGGGCCATTGATCATGCAAGGTAAAAATGGTGATCACAGAAAAAGAGCTGTTTGCGCAACCATTTTGTAAAAATTGCCAAAAATCGGATATTTAATATTTTACAGTTAGACCAGTTGTTTTTGAAAGTTAACTCAAAATATTATATTTCAGAAAATGATTCACGAAATTTTGTTAAGAAATTAGTGAGATATGACAGTTTAAAGTCAAGTAAAGAAATCTGGCAGATTGCATGCATGATGATTGGTTAGAAAAGTGAGTTTTCATCATTTCCTTGAGTAAATCTTTTGAAATATTTTAAAAGATATCATGATAAACTTATATTCTAGTTATGTTTCCAGAGATAAAAAGATTAAAACTTATCAAAATGTATACATTCATTTATGAACAAAAATTTGTTTCTAAAAAACTCTTAACTTGAGTTTGATGTTTTAATCCTTAAAATCGCTTTTTGCACTAAGATCATGAACATGCAACCTTGTTTATCATACATGCATGGTGTTAAAACACATCCATGATGTTCTAAAAAAACCATTTTAACACAAAGAAAACAAGTTTGAAGAAGATGAAGAAGGACAAAGTGGAAAAAAAAAGCAAAATTTGAAGGAAAAGTGAAGTAGAAATCGATTTTACCTTCAAGAATACCACAAGATGATGAAGATTTCGAGTTTGAGGAGTGTTCTTGGGTTTGTTTTCTGGAAAATTTCTTGGTTCTTAGAGGGAGGAAGAGAGAATGGTGTGGTGTTTGGAGAGAAAAAGTAGAGAGAAGGTAGAGAGAGTTTTCTAGAGAGAGAAACACTACTAGAAAAACAGCCTTTTACGACGCTCATTGCGCGTCGTAAAAGGCTCAGATGACGCGCAAATGCGCGTCAAGGAAGGCCTTGTCATAAAGAGAGACGACGCGCATTTACGACGCTCATTTACGACGCACAATTACGACGCGCATTTACGACACGCAATGCGTATCAAGGAAGGCCCTGTCATAAAGGAAGATGACACGCATTCACATGTCGTAACCTTACGACGCGCGTGTTAATGACACGGAATGCGTATCAAGAAAGCCCCTGTCAAGAAAGGCCATGTCATAAATGAAGATGACACACATTTTTGCGTATCATAATTTTAAATGTTTAAAAAAATATATTATTTATAGATTTACTAATTCTCAAATTAAATAATACATTAAAAATCTCATAATACAAAATAAAATACCATAAATAACAAAGATAATTCATTTCACTAATATGTCAAATACAAATAATTATTCCAATAGTGAGTAAATGTTATAAAAAAAATGAACTCATTTATATACAATTGCATTATCTAGCTTACTATGTGCCAACAACTCTCTGTGTTTACTTTTTGCTTGAGTCTCGTTTCCTCCAAAACTTCTAGCCATGCCAAAATATGATATCTTAAATTCATCAAGTCCTTGGCGTGAAGTCTTAGATAGAAGCTTAACTGCAATCTCCAATCCTTCTAGCAGACCCTAAAGATCATTATTGGCCATGTAGCAGGATCAACCTGCAATCTCTTTTCTACCTTCTTATTACTTGCAAGCATCTTCTACCTGTTTGACCAAGATTGTGCCTTCAGTAGCAACATGCTGCATTGCGTCAAAAAGATAAAAACAGATGACAACAAATGCAAATAACTGCATTCTACTTTAAAAAACAAAATAGAATCCAACTCCTAAATCACAAACCTGTTTAAACATACTAGAGACAGGATCCAATCCATGGGGTATTTTTGGAAAATAGTCTGAACATTCTTGACAAATCATCAACCTACAAGTGAAGGGTAGAAAGGGAAGAAACAAATGTTCACAACTAGTAAGAAATCTAAACACTAGAAGTTTCACAGTGATTGTTGATTCCTATAAACTCAAATGTGAGTTGAGAGGCTTGTTCACAACCACTAAGAAATACTAAGTAGAAAGAAACAAGCCCTTAATCCAGTAAGCTATATATGAGTGTTTCTTGCAACATAAACATTTTCATGAAAATGATATAGACAAATAAGAGTGATGATATTGATACCTTAACTACGCCATTGGTGAAAGAAATTTTAATTGGTTGATAGCAATACTTGACCTCTGAACAAATAAACAAAGGATCACATCATAATTAGCTCAATGAAGTAATTCTTATACATTGTCTCTACCAAAAGATTCATCATGGAAACATTTTTGTTGGAAATAACTAAACAAAAACCGATTTAGTATCATTAACCTGTTGGAAAAAGTAAAACCATGATTAAGTTATAAAATTTCGTGTTTAAATAATATATATATATATATATATATATATATATATATATATATATATATATATATATATATATATATATATTTAATGCCTGATGAACTTTGGGTTGTTTGTGAACATCTTCATAAGGATCATTCTCCATATCACTCAAAGGATCACTAATAACCTCCACAGGAGGCTGTCAGATTGACTTTGGTGCTGCTACACTTGCAACAATTAAAGGTCTACGCCTTTGTAATCGCCCCTCAATCTCATCAAATTCCTTGTGCTGAAAGTGAAATTAATGTAAAACATGTATACATTTATAGAATGCAACACGTGATTTTTTGTAAGAAATTAAGTAATGGTTACAAAATACAAACCCGCAAGCGATGCTTTATAAGAAGTTTGTGAATTAATGGGATGAAAATGGTAAAGTCCTCCCCAAGTGCATGTGCCAAACAACAGAGTGCATCAACAACATCCTTTCTTAGCTCATCGTTTTTTCTACATGCATGAAAAATGTTTTAAAAGAAAATAAAATTAAAAGTGAAAAGGAATTCATGTTGGGAGAGTCAAATTACATTATTTCCCTTTGACACATGTGCATTGTACAAAGAATTATAGGAACATATCTCCTGAATTCATCTTTCAGGGCTATACAAATTTGTTCAACTAGGTGCAGGATCTGATCAGAAAGTCAAATTACATTATTTCCCTTTGACACATGTGCATTGTACAAAAACAGATAGTAAAAGCACACTTTACCGGGGGTCCATGAACATAACGATTGGCTATTGGGAGACTGAATGATGACCATAATTCTGATATTAAAGAAAGCAGCTCGGGTAGATACTTGCGAATGTGCGGAAATAGCAACCAAGAATGGTTAATGATGACGTGGCGTTTAAGGAGTTAGTTTTTTTGTAATTGTACAAAGTTAAATACAATCCTACCTGGCGCACAATTGAAACAAGAGTTCCAAGCTTCCAAGTTATGAACTCCTTGAGAGTATCTTCACACGTACAGATAGTGTGAAAGAAGTCTAGTAAAACCTTTGGCAAGTAAGGCACACAGCCAAGACCCATTGACTAAAAAACGATATTAGAAAAATCAAAGAAGAGGAAAAAAGAATCTACAATCTGCAATTATATAATAAATATGTATATTATGTGTTCTTTAAGTCAACGAACCTTGAAAATAAACATGAGAGAGCCAACGACTTTTTGATGATAACTAGAAAGATAAGGGTCTCTAAGTATCCGAATTAAAGAACTGATAGCAACCTGCAAGTGTAGTAAATGCAAATTAGACTAAAGGAGTAAAGGTAAGACTTCTTTTTTATTTTTACTTTTTGATAAAAAAAAACTTTACAGTGGAGAAATAATCTTCTGATGTTGCAAATGATGGCCAAAAATCCATTGGCAACTCATCACTAGACTGGATATGTGGGCCTGTATCATTGGTTGCATGGGTCCCATCACCCAGAGGCCCTTGCAAGCTTTGTTGATTACGCTTATGAACATGAGGATCCAAAGCACCCATTATTCCAAGAACCTGATCATTCATTGTTAACAAAGATTTTTTCCAGCATGAATCTATGTACATAACATCATAGAAACCATAAAAGGGTCAAAAACATACCATAAGAACTTCACTCCTTGTAGACCATGCCAGCTCACTATTCAACAATTTTAAAAGTAAGCCCAACTGTGGGTACTCATTATATGGAGCTATCACATAACTACAAACAAAAACCAATCGATTTTTGTAAAAAGGGTAAACTACATTGCAGTGTCACTTGTAATATTGGTAAAGATGAATACATACCCTGTGCTCTGTACAACCTGACCAAGAGTTGCAACAACAACCTCACGTTTAGTAGCAGCAGCTCCATCCAATAAAGCTTCAACAATTCTTGGCATAATTTCAGGGATATATTCTCTCATAAGCTTGAATATGCATATTAGCATTAGACACTATTATATTTATGTTGAGATCCGTTGTAGTGGTCAGCCGTAATTGAGATGCAACACTTGGAGCATTGACATCATTTTAGTACATGTACATTGAAACCAAACAAGAAGACATTAAACAAGTAGAAAGAAAGAGAAAAGAGACCCCTTCAGAAATTTATCACTAAAACATATTTGAAAAATTCTAGAGAAAGAGATAACCTACCTTAAGACACCATCAACAGGTTCAACAAGAGGCTCCCAAGCTTCATGTTTATCATTATATGATATGGCGGCCAATGAGAAGCAAACAGTGGCATTGAGGTAATCAGGCCTGCTATGGAGACTAAATCCAATATTGCTCAATGATATGTTAGATAATGGTTTCATCTGCAATTCCAAACATATAAAATAATTCAGATCCTAGTTATCAATGTGGAGGATAACACTAAACCATTTATAAATATCCAGGGGGAGCCTGAGGCAGCCACAAAGATATACTTTCAGCTCCTTTATGTTTCTTTATTTTCTCGACAAGTTGAAAACGAACAGTAGCTTTAAAAGGCTCATCTTTTTCAAGAACTATGCATGTGTTTGGAGGCTCATATCCTGTAACAACAATATCACCATACAGCAATATCAACAAGATACTTTTGGTAGATGCTCCACCTATGAAGTCCAACAGCTCTTCAACTTTGCTTGCATGCTCTAAATAGAATATTCTAGGTCTTAAATACCCATTACTCATGTTCCATACGACTGCATAATAAGAGGAATATCTATTAAGAATACAGGTTAACAGTTTGTTTTCTTTCTGACAGGGCCAATTCGGTGGTGGATCCTCCTTCACTATCTTTTATGCTTTTACTACCTTCCCCCCTCTTTTAACGGTATAAATGGGGGGTATATTTGTAATTACACTCTCCAAGACTAAGTAAAATTATCTTCTGTACATAATTTGGCATGTTTTGAGGCCAAATAGTTATGAAGTCAATATCGAACACCTAAAACTCGATACCCTCCAAAATCATTATCACACGCACAAAAAATAGACACTTTTACCCCTCTACTCAAGAATGTACCCCAACATTCTTGCTTTCAAGGCATAAACCAAATCTTGGTCAAATCTTTTTCCTGATTTTTTTTTCTTTTTTAAAATTTAAAGACAATGAAGAAGGGCCCGTTTGCAGGTTGGATGTTGTGAAGTTCTTATGCTTGAATTCGGAGGTGTCAATTCCATTCCAAGTGTTTTTAGTAGAAAATGTCTTTCCTGAAAAACCCAAAAAATAAAATAAATAAATAAATAAACTTTCTTTAATCTTTTTGGTTTTTAGCTTGTTTAATTACAGGAAAAGTAAAGAAAAACTATTCTTTTTTTGGCAATTTTGTAGTTTAATCACTTATGCTTTGTTTTTTTCCAATCAAACCATAAAAGTTCCACACATTTTTTTTTCAAATTAACCACTTTAACCTTATATAATAAATCAAAATGTCTTTCAACTTTTATTGTTTGATTCGAAAAATAAAGTATTAGTTGGTTAAAATTTAAAACTGCTAAAAATATAATGTTTTTTTTAATATAACTTACCCTTTTATTGATGTGACAGGAAGTAATTTAAGTGGAAGATTAACGTATGACAAGGGAAAAAACATAAAATGGTTAATGGACTTACACTTTCTGAATATTGTGGGCTTGGAATCCCTGCATCCATTGATCTAAACAATGGAGTTACTTGAAGTGGAGAATTAAATTCTGAATTTGGCAATGCAACATCATTCTTGAATTCATCACAAGATTGTAAAATATCTGTAATTCAAAAAATATATATATATTTCTCATTATTATCAATATGATGTTAATTATAGGTAAAATTACAAAAAAGGACATAGTTTAACTTGATTGATTCCCTCATCAGATGTTATCATATTTACATCACCAACAGCTCACGTTCTTCTTTCTGACGATCTTTTAAACGAGAGCTTTGTATCCCTGGTAACAAGGACTTAGGCACCCTGCCAGATACCGACATTAAATGGGGCTTTAGGTCGCACCCGATTAAGTTACCGTAACCCGGCGGGAACATTTCTAACTTTTTGAAATAAACACTTTTGGGTTAATTTCATGAATTCCAAAGGGGTTTGGACACTCATTAAATTATAATAAACATATAAGTTTAAATAATTTAACCCAAAGTGAACACGGAACGAATTGGATAACGACGAATTTTTCAGGTAGAACGGGTTTTGGCGATGAACAACTTCGGGTTGTTACATTATCCCCCCGTTAGAGGGAATTTTGTCCCGAAATTCAAAGAATAAGATATAAATCATGAATTGGAATGAGTCACGAATGGGTTTGTTGCCTCAGATCTTCACTTTCTCAAGTGGAATCAGGTCTCTGCTGGGCGTTCTAGTGAATTCTCACTTATCGGAATGTGTCTTTGTTTCGTACCTTGACTCTCTCTCAATCTATGATCTTAATTGATTCTCCCATGGAGGTTCCAACCCTGAACGACTTCGGTTTCCTCAAAGGAATCACTAGGGTTTCGTTGGGTAGATGGTTCTAAGGATTCGAGACATGATGTACTGGATAGATGTTACCGGTTCTGAAGGCATCCGAAATCTGAAGATTGTAGAATCGATTTCCACGAAGATCTCAAAAGGTCTGAGGTGGGACTAAACTAGACGTTCGAAAGAAATTCTCGGGAATACTTCGGGATAGATATTTAGAAGAAAGAGCTACTAACTTCCCATTTCTCAATGATCACAGAAACGAGGGAGGTGTGGTAATTCATATCGGGAAAAACTTTTGAGTTTTAAAGCATGAAACAATACGAAGGTTTGATGCCGAAGATCATGAGAGTCGGGTCGGGGAAACGATCTAGACAGGCGACCCTTTCGAAACCAAGATGACAACATGAATGAGGCTCAGTCATTCCATGTTAAACATAGCATCAAAGCATTTCGTGAAAAGTTTCCCATTTAATCGAATGGAATAGAATAGTCCTCTGGACTGAGGATTTAATCTATAGGTACGAAGTTTAGTGTTCTCTATCTCACTGGTTAGTTGTCTCGATGGTACACATTTCGATTACGTACGAAGGATTGAGCTTAGAAAATGTTTGAATAGATAGATAACAAGTTTCCCTCTTTGTACTGGAATCGAAAAGAGTTGCAGGTATAAGAATTATCAAAGAGAAGTATACCTGCGGCAACAGAGGGATCAGTGGTTGTAGCTGCTTTGGGACAATTTCTTTTGAAGTGCCCTGATTCACCACAATTGTAGCAGGATGGACTGATTCCCGCTCCGGATGATTGGTTCGTTGATTTGGCTGGTTTTTTGCAGGTTCGAGCAAGATGGCCCTTTTTGCTACAGTTGTCACAGATCCTTTCGCGACATGGACCAGGGGTACGGTGATGGTAGTTGCACTTACTACACCAAGGGAGGGTACCAGTGTATCCACTGGTGGGAGTTTGGGCTATGGAACCGACAGCTGAAACAGCAACAGGGGCAGTAGCAGCATGGACTGCTACTGTTTGTTGTTTCTTAGAAGACCCTTGCGTACTCGGGGCCTTCCGCTTGTTCCAAGATTTCTTTTTGTTTCCGTCTCCACTGGAGACTGGCTCGGGGGTAGTAGCTTTCTCATCAGAGTTGTCTTCGTGATCGATCAAGATTTTCACAAGACATTTAGCGCTGTCGTAGGTGTCTGGCTTCGCAGCCAAGACATTCCCTTTGGTTGGCTGGGTCAATCCCCAGATGAATCTCTCGATCTTTTTACTCTCCGGGGTAACCATTCCCGGACAGAGTAATGCCAGGTCATCGAATCTTGAGGTATAAGCGGCTATGTTGGAATCCTTCATCTTAAGGTACTAGAGTTCGTGTTCTAGCTTCTGTATTTCGCCCCGAGGGCAATACCCTGCAAGCAGAATCTCCTTCATAGCTTCCCAACCCATAGCATTTGCTACAGATAAAGTTAAAGATTTGACTCGACCGTTCCACCAAGTCAGGGCTTTATCAAGGAAGGTGCAGGCGGCGAAATTTACTTTGTCAGACTCCGAACAGGCACATATTTCGAAGATTAATTCGATTTTCTCGAACCATCGGGTCAGGGAAATGACACCTCCAGTGCCATCGAAGGTTGTGGGCTTCGCGTTCATGAAGTCTTTATAGGAACTCCCTCTTCGGTGTTCCTGGCTTTCTTCTGGATTTTGGGGTTAGGGACCACCTCCGGAGCCACCGGGATTCATTTGTGACATGGCTGCCACCATTGCAGCAGTCAGAACTGTCTGAAGTGATGCGAGATCAAATTGAGGAGAAGATGGTGGCGGAGGAGGATTGTCGTTGTTCTTCGAGTTGGGTCTCTTTCTTGGGGGCATCTTGATCTAAAAGGATCAGGAAAGAGAGGATCATAAGTCCTTTGAATTGAATCAAAAGATATGGAACAAGGAATATCTCATCAAGACAGATATAGCATTATACTAAGCGATAAAGCAGGAAAGAGTTATCAAGACAGAACATTTTATCGCTAGAGGAATGGTCAAGGAACAATGCGTATACGAGGACTTTCTACCAAGGATTGAATCGAGAAATACTCCCATAGTATTTCATGGTTCGCTGCAGCGACGATTCGTTGTTTGGGATATTAGGTAAGTTTTAGGCATGCTGCGTACCACAGTCACTCCCAAGCACATGTTGGCCGTGTCTCGAATGAATGTAGTTGGCCAGGCTATATTGATCGTAGACACGACTACATAACTGCCCAGGTTTAACCGCAGTGTACAACACCCATTTACTTATTTTTTGTTCTACTTGTAGTTACGGATTTCGACGGTTCGGTATACTTGTATACTTTTGAAAATACTTATAGTTTTGAAGATACTTTTCATTCAGAGCACTGAGGCCCTTTAGTGTTTATAGTTTTATACCATGTAAGGTTTGGTATACTCCGTTCACTATAAACAAGGGCTCTGATACCAATCTGTCACACCCTGAAAATCAAAGGCGGAAACATTTCCGGGGTGGACTCCAGGTTGTGTATCAAATCTAATGTACATAGTAATCACAGTAAACAACCAATACATTACATATATATGAAAGTTTACATTTGTTTCAAAAGTAAAGTTATACAAGATATACATATGCATCATATTAACAAAAGTTGAGACGAGTCTTCTGAGCACTCCGTCTTCACCAAAAGATATCGTCGGGTACCTGTCTAACTTGGACCTGAGAATACAAGCGGTTTGAAAATCAGCATAAAGCTGGTGAGTTCAAAAGCGGTTTTGTTTTATGAAAATGTATCGGTTTCCTTTAGTTTTCCGAAAAGGTTTGTTATCCAAGAAAATCCCATATTTTATTATGTAAAGTTAGTTTAGTTATCATTTGTTACTAATTCGATTATGTGATGTATTTTACCCCAGGAAAATCCCATATATTCCTAAATACAAGATTTAATAACACAGAGTATAGTTTAATACACAAAACTATATATTGAAAATCATGGGATCACTATCCCGAACGAGATATAAGATAGTTCGATACTAATGAAAATACAGATTTAAGACCATGGGACTACCATCCTGGACTAGACACAAAATAATTTGATATATATGAAAATATAGATTGGGAACCATGGGATCACTATCCCGGACAAGATATAGATTTAAACCATGGGGTTATCATCCCGTACTTGATATAGATCGAATCATGGGATTACTATCCCGAAATAAATATAGATTGAAAACCATGGGATCACTATCCCGGACAAGATATAGGTGTAAACCATGGGATTACTATCCCGTAATAGTTATAGATTCAAAACCATGGGATTATTATCCCGAATTAGATATGAAATACCATAATATACACGAACTGTAGATAGAAAGTAGTTTGATAACCTTGGGACTAACATCCCGAACTAATTACAATATAGTTTGATATACTAAGAAATATAAATTGAAAACCATGGGATTACTATCCCGTACAGACATAAATTATTTGATAAAACCATGGGATCATTATCCCGAACGAAATATAGATTCTAAAACCCAAGCTGTGAATAAACTTATATTAATACATGTTGTGAGTCGGGTAACCATACTAATACGACAACGAGACCTCCTTGACGCTTGTCAGACATCGAATGATATCCAGAAATTTGTCACCCCAGGCGTGCCCGCCTAACTGTAGCTAGCAGTTAAGGTGTGGGATTGTCAGTCCCGAATAGATCTATTCACAAATTCCTCGCTCTCCCTCCAGGAGACTCTGGTTACATTTCCGGGGAGGATTTACTAATCATCCATAAAGGGTAGTAACTATCTCACAAACTAGTAATAAACTATTCAAAGGGTTCTCATACGGTATCAACATACAGAAGATTATGAAATGTAGTACAGCGAATATAGATACATACAATGAAACTATCTGACAATACATTCAAATGATACGGAGATAAACTGAATCAGACATAGTTTATCTAATAAGTTTATATAGATATCAGTATATGATAGAACGAACAGTAAAGAACCCCAAATTATTCCCATAATAATTTGATTAGTTTGGTTATTTCCTTAACTAAAATTCATTTAGTTGTAGTTGATAAATCATTCCTTATGCTCAGCATAATACATAAGGAGTAAAATTGTTTATAAGTTTGCCAGATATTATTTGAAACACATCAATGTTATGATTTGAAAACAGTTATAGTTTGCTTGTATTTCCCCCCCCCCCCTGAAAACATTGAAAAACACGGAAAAGGGCGTAGGGGTATGAACTCACCGGACGAGAATGTGACGATTTCGGATGTTAAACGTTGGTCCAGGGCTTGCAAAAGCACGTGGTTCCTAAGTATAATGTAAAGATACACATTTGTATCTAATTAGGACTTAGATTGATTATTTGATAGGGACAATTGCTTCTAGTCGCGAAAACACCCCGATACAAGTGTTTGGAGGGACCCGGGTGACGTTTAAGGACATGTAATGATGCGAGGGACTTGGGATTTGAGTTTACTCCCCAAGAGTAAACTCCCTAATGATGTTTACAGCCAAAACACCCATTCCCCATGAGTTTACGGCCGTAAACTCATGGTGGGGTGGTTTATGGTGCAAATTGGACTTCAAACACTTAGGGGAATTTTTCTAGGTTTGGTTCAAAGTCTTGGAATGGATTTTTTAACATCAAAATGACTTATTTATGGGAGTTTACAGCCTAGCATGGACTCCTGGCCGTAAACTCCTAAATACCCATGAAAAATTGTGTTTTTGGATTCCAAACGAATCACATGTGACTCTAAAAATTCCCACAAGCCTACAAATGAATTTTGGGCTCCATTTGACACTCTTTTAGGAGTTTACGGCCATGGCACATGTTCTATGGCCGTTAACTCTAAAATGTGGGGTTTTGATGTGTTTAAGGTCCTTAAACTATTTTTGGTTGGTCCTATGATTTATTCCAAGGCTTTTGGTGGTGTTGGATGGCTTTCTAACACCTTGAAATTGAATTTACACCCATTTTTAAGGAGTTTACGGCCCAAGCACAAGCCTTGGCCGTAAACTCATATAAGTCCTCCAAAAATTATGTTTAAAGTGTTCCAAGGCTAAAGCAATTATTCTAGAAGTCATATCCAGGTCTTGTTGAGGTTTTGGAAGGGTTTAAGGTCATGAAAACCCCTTATACATGAGTTTACGGCCCAAGCATGTGCCTTGGCCGTAAACTCCTTCAAATGTCTCAAAATCCATGTTTTAAATGTTATAAGTCCATTCCATGAAGCCATCTAGCCATATCTAAAGTCCAATTGTGTTTAGGAAGGGTTTTTGTGCTCCAAAACCCATATTATATGAGTTTACAGCCCAAGATGGTTCCATGGCCGTAAACTCATGAATGTGGTCTTAATCCATGCTTTGAACTCAAATTTGAAGGCTAGGGAGGTTACATAACAAGCTAGGGAAAGTACCTTAGAGATTTGAGGCCTTAAATTTGAGTTTTGGACCCTTAAACTTGGATTTAGGAGAGAGGTTAGAGAGAGAGTAGAGAGAGGAAGAAAAAGCTTCAAATGGGTGTTTAAACACGTTTATATAGGTCCTAAAACTTGGGCATGGTGGAATTCTACCAGATACTGACATTAAATGGGGCTTTAGGTCGCACCCGATTAAGTTACCGTAACCCGGCGGGAACGTTTCTAACTTTTTGAAATAAACACTTTTGGGTTAATTTCATGAATTCCAAAGGGGTTTGGACACTCATTAAATTATAATAAACATATAAGTTTAAATAATTTAACCCAAAGTGAACACGGAACGAATTTGATAACGGCGAATTTTTCGGGTAGAACGGGTTTTGGCGATGAACAACTTCGGGTTGTTACAGACAGTTCTACCCTTAGAGGATACTTGGGAGAACCTGTCTTGATGCTCATAGACATGCCTTTTCCTTTTCATACAAGGCCTTCCTGTCATCCTTCTTTCAACAGGTGGTAGTGGTTCGGTGTAAGGTGTTGGTTACCACATATTACTGCCATTAACAGGAAGGATGTTAGACTCATAAGTTGCTAAAACTTGTCCTTACCAAACTATGTGCTGATAAATCTAGCTGGATCCCGTTGTGTGTAAGTTATGGTTACTTGGGCATGGACACAGGGGATCCCAAACAACTCCCAAAGTTTGTATGTACAGTACATCCCCTCTAAGTTCACTCCATATGAGTGGAAGCCATTTCTCACTTTAAATGCATTCAAACCACTAGGATGAACATACCAACTCCTGCAAACACATTAACAGTTTTAATTAGTATACATATTGAGTCTCAATACTAAACTCATACATTGTCTTAATTTTATAATACTTACTTGATATCAAATGCAAACTCATCCATTTTCTTAATAGGTCCTGGACACACATTATTCACCCATTTACGTGATTCTTGCTTCAAGTTAAATAACCTTTCCATCATATATAGTCTAATCTCCTCAAGCATGACCAACAAAGGCTTCTTTCTGGCATTAAGTATGATGGCATTAAAACACTCTGTCATTCCATTTTCAGCAGCCTCACATGCCATTCCACCTTTAAAAAATGCCCTGCACCAAGATTTAGGCTCCCTTGCCTCAAATGATCATAAGCAGCAGGATTGACTTCTCTGATCTTCTCAATATTCAATTTGAAGTCTCCTTCAACAGTTGACTTGACAACTGTCCAAAACATATTCTTGAATTCTGTACCACTGAAGACCTTTCTGAAATTTCCATACACATGTCTTGCACATTGTCCGTGCTCCACATGTGGCAATATAACCTTTACAGCTTCCAAAAGACCCTATCAGTTACATTAAAAAATTTCATTACTAATTGCTTAATACATGTATAAATGAAATGAAAAAAGAGATAATTGAAAACATTACCTTGTGTTGATCAGAAATAACACACAAATACAAGCCTCCTTGTAATTCCAGGTCATCATGTAATAGTTCCAAGAACCATTTCCAGTTGGGCTTGTTCTCAATTTCCATTTGCATCCCTCCCTATGGAAGTTAGCAGCTCACCTTTACATTGTACTTTCAAAAAACTCCCATCAAGCCCTATAACTCTTCGACAACCAACTTTCCATCCTTCTTTGATAGCCTTAAAACATGTATACATTTTATGGAAAGTAGTAGTGTTATCAGGGTTTACAGTGACAAATATGTGAATTGTATTCCCTGGATTGTACCTTATCAGCTCATGTCCATAATCCCAAACTTTTGCATAGTGATCACTCAACTTTCCATCTATTATAGAAATTGCACTACACTTTGCTCTATAACATTTTTACCATGAAACCTGCTTTAAATAATAGCTTGCATTTCCTTACATTTCAGATTTGGTTTCCTAATCATCTCCTTCAGAAACTGTCTAGCTATCCATGTGGGATCTATAAGATTAGCACTACCGAAATTCCTAACACAGGTATGTTGCTCAACCATTTTTTTTTATTTGGAATGATCTTTCAATGCTCATCCATGAGGCCCTTACAACAAAGGGACATTGAAATTTCTGAGGGTTACTTGCACATACAGCCACAAGCCTTACACTATCACATTTCTTGAACTTAATTAGATAACCCTTACTTATAGAGTAATTTGTCAAAAAATGATTCAGTTTGTGTGGTGATTCATACCTCTCTCCAAGAACTGGCTTCATTTTGTTCCATTTCACCTTCGGATCATGGGTTGAGTATTGAAACTGCAATTTGTCTTCATCGTCACCCTCATTATCACTCTGGTTCTCCTGCTGTTCTTCATCTTCCGACATTCCTTCAAAATCATTTAGGTTTATCTCAGGTATGGTGCATTCGTCAAGCGCTTCGTCTGTGAGAGTATTTAGGAACTCATCTTTGCATCGACTTCTTTGTTTGTGTTTGAAAAACTCATCCAATTCCACGTCAATGGTATCGAAGTCATCTACTGTCTCCATTATCACTACAAAACAAAAATCAATCAAATATTATAAGGGAAACAAGATATTGGAGAACCACATGGATTTTCTTACCTTTGATTCTTCTTAGGTAACGTTTTGCCTCGATGGAGGGTAAGAAAGGGTTTTTACAGAGGAGGAGTAGATGACGGGGAGGTTAGTGAAGGGTGATAAGGACGAGCCAGCTGGAATAACCGACTATTTTAAGGATTACCGTTTCTTAGGGCTAAACTGAATGTAATAGCCGGTAATCTATCCTTTTTCATAAGTGAAATTTAATTTAGGACTAAATCATAAAGTGGGCCAAAATTTTGGGACTTTTTTGCAGATTTCCATTTACTTTACAACACACATTATTAAATATTTACTTTATGAGTTACTTTATTACACATTTTCTTTATGATTATTAGATATTTACTTTACGACACAAATTATTAAATATTTACGTTATGAATTACTTTATTACATATTTTCTTTACGAATTATTAATTATTTACTTTATGAATAATTATAGTTTATATCATTATGGACAAATAGAGTTTACATCATTATGATTAATTAGAGTTTATATCATTATGAATTATTACATATTTCCTCATTGATTATTTTTTTTATTTTTTAGTTCCTTTCAATTATAGAAGGTAATGTTTGCATCATTATGGAAACACAAAGTTTTACACTTCGGCCACCACACGAATAATAGAGTATAGAGTCAACATGCTAGATTTAAAAACTACTTAGATTCAAATCACTTCAAGGTGCATAGATTTTTTTTTTTGAGTATATTTACAAGACAGTTGAATCACAATACACAAGCATAAAACGAAGCCTTGAAAAAAGCAGAATCCAAGTAAAGCATTTCCACACCATAGACATTTTCAAAAGCTTATTATGTAACGTTTCATAACATGCTTTACAAAAAATGTTCCAAGAATTAGATCGACCAAAATCTCAAAATATAACTGAGGCCAAATGTGGGTGTAAACTACATCGTACTTGTGGGTTGGCTTGTGCCCACAAAATTTTTGTTTATTAAAATACGGGACGACAAATACCCATGGAACCAATTGATTTTTTTTAGAGGAGACTTGAAGTAGAGAAATCTGTGTCGGTCACTCGATACGATGAATCGGATTTTGATGGTGAAGTGGACCGTTTAAAGAAAAACTACAATAATAAGTCAAACGATGTGAAGGCTAATTATCTTCAAAAAATGATGAATATATGGAAGTCATCACCTACTATGGCTTTTAAGCCTGCTATTCGTACAAATACATGTGGATGTCCACGAGCGAGTACAAAACCATCACAAGCAAAACCTCCGGTTCCGCCAACTCAAGATCCTCTAGTTTTTCTACGTATGCACCATATTATTTGGGGTCTAATATGTTTAATTTAAACCAACAACCAGAACTGGAGAGGCACAATACGTATTCATTTGGAGAATCTTCAATGCTCAACCAGGAACCAATGTATTAAGGATCATACTTCGACCATGCACTTATGGATGATATTTCAAGTGAATTTCAAGCATATATGTCAAACATACAAAATGGGAAGGAGATGGACATTGTGGATTCCGGGAAGTAGCTGTTGCTCTTAGTTATAGTGAAGACTTTAGGCATCAAATTTAGACGGACTTATACAAAGAGTTATTGATGCACATTGATGATTACAGAGTGGTTTTTGCAAATGACATAAATACCATTAGTGAAGCATTGAATTTCTATGGAACACCCACGAATCGAAAATATTAGATGATTATGCCTGACAGTGGTATTCTAATTGCTATTAACTATGGTGATATTGTTCATTTCTTAAGAAAACTTAAATCTTCAACGTCTTTCCTACTTTGGTGTGGTCCACAAGATTTCCCAAATCATCCAATTATAAATATCCCCCCCTTCAACGATTTGATTATGTTAAGGTTGATTTACAAAAGGGTCATCCAAAGGCTAATATTTGTTGGATATGGAATATGCACAAATCAACATGCTCTACTGGATGGCACACATTGTATCATGCTCGATTGAATGTTTACGTTCCACCACATAGACCATACAATAATCATCGTCCTGGAAGAGTTAAGGTATCAGATAATTAGTAAAATGTAAAAAAAATTGTTTGATAATAACGGTGTATGCTCAAGTTGTATCACGCTCAATCGACTGTAAAATTTTAATTTATTCAATGTTTAATATTAATTTGTTTAATAATAACATTGTATGTTTAATAATAATGTTGTGGTGACAATCTTTAGAAAATTCTCCTTTTTTAAAGGATAAAATTATAAATTATAAATTTTGTTTTAGTATTTGTAATCATATCTAATTCTCTATTAATTAAAAAATAAATTTAATCTTTAATAGACATGATCCATATGATGAAACTCCTAAATTGACAAAAAGGTACCATTAAAATCATTTATTTAATGTCGTTAAAAAACTTATTTTTTAATTCGATAAAAGGAGTATCATCAAAACAATTTAAAAGGAAAAAGACAAAAAAGACAATATTTTTATTTGTTTAATAGTATGTAAAAACAACAAAAAAAAAAGACAAAAAAACAAAAAATATAAAAAACAAAAAAAAAAGACAAAAAAACAAAGAAAACACAAAAAATAAAAAGAAAAAAAGGCAAAAAAGGGGGTACATTGAGGAATCATTGAGGGTACATAGAAAAATCCCTTAAAGAAAAAGAAAAGAGAAGTCAGATGTAATTTGTGTGTTGTTAACGAAAAGTTATAGTTCTTGGGTTTGTTTTCTATGTAAATAGTACATAAGATGAAACATGCATAGCCAAAGTATCTTTCTTCTCTCATCAGCGACAAGAAACAAACAAAAAATGTGAAGAGACTCATTAGTTTTTATCTCTTCTTTTTCCAAACATCAACTTGTTGGACCGATTCTGTGTCTTCACTTTTGGTGAATAGCAACTTTGATTCCCCCTCCTCCGTGTCGTCGAAATTGTAGAAAAATGCAACTATACACACCCATGCATGCGAAGATCAAGAATACGTATCTGAAACATTCAAAGCACATCTAACTCATTCGCTCACCGATTTTGGGGAAAAAGTGTAAGGGTGAAAGTTGGAGAAATAACTGAGATTTCATAAGATTTAAGAAAAGTAAAAAGGAGAAGGTGAAATCTAATTTTCCTGGTAACGTGATTTGATTTTCTAGAATATGAGAGCAACTGTGGAAAATGTCATGTTTAAACCTATAGACCCTCCCCAACCCCACTTTCCATTCTAAATCTTCATTTATCAATTAAGTAAAAAAGAAACACCTATATATATCTTAACATATTAAGTTTTATCCATATTAAGTACACTAGGTTAAAAAGGAACACCCCCGAAGATTTATTGATGAAATGATGAGATAGAATGTTATGTGACGTTGTTATGTAAGACTATGGGAAGATCATAGCTTTCACATGAATGATTATGAGAATGTAGACAGATCGAATGAGATGATGATTTCTTCAGGGGTATGATTAAGATTCATTGTCAATAAGTTTATGATTTTTTAAAGAATGAGATTATGTGTGGTTAGGGAATATTCAGAAAGGTTTCCAAGAGTGGAACAAAGTAAGAGGTTTCTTTAAAGAACCTTGATATGCAATTTGCAAGGGATTATGTATAGAGAATTCATATGTGATTATTGTAATCCACGAGGGATGCATGAAAAGAAAAGCTCCCAAAGGATTCGTAAGGGATCAAAGTGAGGTGACTAAGTCTAGATGATTGTACACCGGTAAGATCAAAGTATTTTGTCACCCTAAATGGAAGTTGAAGTTATCATTTGTGATTAGACTGTTTGGGTCTAAATGAGAGTAGAATGGAAAAGCATGAGTGGATGAGAATGGAGAGGTAGAAGGTGGGAAGAGATAAGAATAGAGGATGGGAAGAGTATGAAAAGGGTAAAGATATGAGATGAGCAGAGTAGATGAGCTGAGAAGAGAAGATATGACAATTGAGTAGATAAGTCGAGAAGAGATGAGAATATGGTAGATGAGATGAGAAGAGATAAGAATAAATTAGATGAGATGAGAATGGATGTGAATAGAGTAGATGATATAAGAAGAGTTGAGAATAGAGTGGAAGAGACGAGAAGAGATGAGAAGAGATTAGATGAGATGATAAGATATAACATTAGAGTTAAAGAGTATGAGACGATAATAAAAGAATGGTAGAGTATGAGAAGAAGAGAACATAGTATTAGAGTTTGAATAACTGAGAACAGATTAAAGTATAACTTACCAGATTTGTGGTATGATGTTGTACATTTTCAAGTGTTGCAGGTTCAAGTAGTAGCCATTGTACGAGAGGAGATAGAAGCACCAATAACTTGGACTAGAAGTAAGTTTTATGTTTGGTTTCTCTTTGTTGCTTTAAATTCTGGTTATGAGTTATTGTAAACCCAATAATATCGTGGGATGTAAAATGTATTTGAGATTTAGAATTCCGCATTTTTATAGAAAAATATGATAAACCATCCATAATATTAGTTGAGAAAAATCGGGATATTACATTTGGTATTATAGCCATAGTTTGAGCGAATTTAGTTCAGGATCTCCAGATATAGACTTTTATTGTGGGAAATTCGAAGAATTGGAGTGTTTATGACCACAATTAGTGATGAATATCAAGGCCCTTTATGTTTATAGTCGGTGTTATTGTACACGACTAATAGATATAGTATGAATTGGTTCTTAATAAACCATGTTATGAGATTTTAGGTACACATCTATACTTATGTGTAGATAAAGAATCAAAGAGTTTGATTTAGTAGCCAGACCAACCACGAGGGTTTGGGTCAAGTATGTCAAGAAGAAGGAATGAATGGCCATTCATTTTCGAAATGACATAACAAATGGCTCTCTCTATGTAAAGAGATGTTTTGTGTGTAAAAAGACTGATATCATGGTTGTCATGATAAAGAGATGTATTACAGATGATGCATCCTAGTAAGTGGACCATAGTTAGGGCATGTGTCCCTAAAAGAAAGAGATAATAGAGATAGAGATCAAGATACATGGATGTGAAAAGGTAGAGACATAGAGGAAGAGAAGAGCTAGAGATAAAGGGATAATAGGAGTGGACGTAGAAAAAAAGACAAAGAAATTGAGACATAAAGATAGAGATATGAAGTGAGATAGAGATAGAGATATGGGGATTGAGTTATAAATGTAAAGAGAATGAAAAGAGATCGAAATATAGAAAGAGATAGAGATAAAGATGTGGAGATAGAGATAAAGAAGGGT